CACACACACACACACACACACACTCTCTCTCTCTCTCTCCCCGCAAATCTTGAATCGAGATACAATCAAGACAGTATTATATATCACAGCTCGCAACTGGAAGCGATCGATAAGGCTGCGCTTTTCGCTATGCTGTTTCAAAAATCGCGAATAATAACGGCAAAGCAGAATCGCTGTTGAAAGAAACCGTCGACCAAAAATATCGGCCTTTCACGTTGTCACAATAACAACAAGTGTTCTATGCATGCCGTCATATTCTCTGCACGTTTACCTCTTTATTTCTTTTCCTTTTCTTGTGCGTTTCAGCACATCTTGTCGCGAATTGATAGCCTTCTGAGTGAACTCTCCGAACGAGAATAAGAAGTTACCTCAAAGTACAATTAAGATCAAACGTGGCTGCCATACGCCGTGACGGTGCCGACAGAAAATTGTTGAGGAATAAAACAAGGAAACGAAGAAAAAAAAGGCCTTATCGCATACTGATATGAAAGATGATACACGAAAGACCGATTTTTCGCACCGATTATCTCTTTCAATGTCGGCAAGTAGAATCTTACAGAGTGTAACAATGTCTGTGTGTGTGTGTGTGTGTGTGTGTGTGTGTATCGAGCAATAAAGTTTCTCCAATAAAATGCGAAGTGCCCGCGTTATTACATATCGATAATCCGAGAGACCTCGCAGGAAAACGGTATTTTACACTGATACTCGGATACTCGTGTTTACGCGCAGACACGAGAAATATTTTCTCGACATTCATATTGCGCCATTGTAAGATTTACAATACCTAGCAGTGACGTTTCTTAAAGGAGAGAAAGTAAAAAGGGGGAGGAGAGAATATACCTTTAAGCCTCGAGTACTTGCTAAGCCGACCAATTTGGTCGCAAGCGACCTCCCCAGCTCTGTTCCCATCCATATTTTCGTTGTAAAAAAGTTTTCCACTCAAAGAAAGATCTTTCTATGAAGAACGATTTCTACAATTGCATCTATAATCTAATAAATCTATAATCTATAGCTTATATATAAAAAAACAATCTATACAAGGAACAATCTTTACAGCCTTCACAATCTCCTTTGTAATGTCCTATATTTTCTTTAGATTCTTTATTTTCTTTAGATTTTATGTCAAATCTATGTAATATATTATCTGAAATTAAATATAACTTCTTTTTCGTATCTTATATGGTTTTTGAATCTTTAGTAAATATAAGGAAATTTCACCAAACGAGTGATCTCCCTTTCGTGTAACAAAGAACCATCTCCTTAAAATGATCCCTTTAATCTTCTTCTAAGATTTAATATGTAATTAAATCTCTTAAGGTTTAATTGTATCTACAATTGTGAAAACAAGAGAACAATCTTTCTTATTTACAACCATCTACCTTTCTTCTTCAATATCCTTTAACGTTGAATGTCTACAATTTAACGTTACCACCATCTGGCACTTGATTGGATACCAATGTAACATGATTTATTTAATATCTCACCAAAAAATATTGATAACAATATTCAATTTCAAAGTACAATTCCAATGTAACAATCCTGAGACTTTTTCCCCATCATGACTATCTTAGAATGTGACGTCAGAAGCAAAAAAACACATGCTCAAGATTTTTGCGAAAGAGGTACATTGAAACAAAAAGATCTGTTCATAAAATAATACGATCAATGAAGATTCATAAGATATATTCTGTAAACTTTCCTTTTGTCTCAATAATATTTAGCCATAAATAACAAGTAACTGTAAAATAGCCGTAAACCAATAATTAGCCGCAAATAGCTACTAGTTACTCTCTTTTTCCATTTTATATTCCAACAAATTCGAAAGAATTGTAAGGATATACTTTCTCGCTTCCGACATTATAATCTAAGATAATCACGACAAAGAAACAGTAAACTCAACGATAATTCTTCTGTTTATGAAAGTAACAACCAATACCTAATTAAGCTCTACGTAGTCTCCCATTAGACAAGTACTCGATAGTCAAAGTCCACTCTGTCTCTCTCTTCCAATCTCTCTCAAACACCTTGAAGAAACGTGAAACACGCGATATCTCGACATACGACAACGTCGTGGTGCAAGATAGTCGAGATGAGGACTCTATGAGGCGGACAAAATAAAAGCTAGACGCGTGAAACGGAGCAAGACGAAATGGGGTGGAGTCCCCTCGCCTACGTGGAGGACGAGTGTATGCCGAAAGCTTGGAAGATCTTGTTTTTGAAACCGGGTTTGTTAGGACTAGCACTGTCGTGGTGGCCGCCGGCCGACTGTCCCTCATTGTGCAGCAGCGCCCTTTGCACCAACGGCAGCGTGCTGTTGTTCGCCTGGCGTTCGTTCGAGTTGCACGTGTGCGTGCGCGTTCGTGCGTGACGTTGGCGTGGATTCGGTCAGAATTCGGGGGAGGGCCGGGACGAACGTTCAACGAAAAAAAGAACAAAAAGAAAGAAGAAAAGGAGATAGTAGACTTAGGCTCTCTCTTTTTTTTATGTTCGTTCGTGAGTGTTCGTTCACGTGCTACGTCGAGCATGCACGACAGGTAGTAATAGTAGTAGTAGTAGTAGTGCGAGTAGATACTAATAAATAGACGACGATGAGGATATCAAGGGACACTCACCTCATCGTGGCTCTGCTCGTGCTCGCTATTCGCCAGACTGGAACGGGAGCCGCGCCTCGCGGAGCCTTTCTCGTCGCCCAAAAGTTGTGCCACTCGCGCCTTGTTCACCAGTTCCAATGCCTGCGCGAGAACGGAACTTTAGACGAGCGAACATGCTCGAGAAAGACAATCGCGCAGAGGCTTTGGATTTTAACTCTCGGACAAAATTTACATACTGAATTTATAGAAATATATTACGAAGATGAGAAGAGCGAATGGTGTCCGTAGTGTCCGTAAGAATTGGAAATTATGGTTCTGCGTGTACGATAGGATTCAAGAGAGAGAGGGACACAAGCAGGACTCGCTAAGATTCGTGTTGGGTGTATTTTACTCACTTGCTGTACGTGCTGCGTGGAAGAAATGCAAATTCGTGTTAGTCAGTGGGTCATGAACCAAATATGAAAAAAGCTTTTATTAATAAACGCGATTAGCAACGGCGTAAATACCTCTCTACGCGATCTCATGGCGCAGTCTTCCAAAGTCTCCGCGGCCTCGTACTTGCCCTGCCTACGATACAACGCGCCCAAGTTCTTCAGGGTAGTCGTGACAGTCGGCGAGTCCACCTTGGCTGCTTTATGCCAGCCGCCGTATTCGCCATACGGTGTGTTCTCCTTGTTCCTGTGCTTGTTCTCCTCTCTTTCTTCAGCAACCTGAAAAATACCGATGTATTAATAACATGCAACTTACCTTTCTAATCTAAGAAAAAGTATTTTTATAATGAAATCAGACAATGAAAAACTGAAAATTTTACAAATCCACTACAACACCGTGCTAAAGACAGACTCATACCTGCCAGATCGGCTTGTTGTCACCGTCAATAGCACCAAATTCCCTCTCATGCGCTCGTGTAAGCACCTGTTTGTACAGCACCTCAGCGTCCTTATATTTGCCTTGCTTGAGGAAACACGAGGCGAGATTGTTCTTCGTCTTGGCGACGTTGGGATCATCCGGACCCAACTTGGCCTCGTAAATCTCGAGCGCGCGTTGATAATAACGTTCAACCTCCTCGTACTTGGCCTGGTTCTGGCACAATAGCGCCAGATTGTTCAACTGTTTCGCCACGTCGGGGTGATCGCGACCCAGCACCTTCTCGCGTATCTCCAGCGCGCGCTTGCACAATGGCTCCGCTTCCTTGTACTTGCCTCGTTTCCCATACAGCACCGCCAAGTTGTTGAGCGTCGCTGCTACGGCGGGATGATTCTCGCCCAAAGTTTTCTCACGAATGGCCAGGGCGTCGTTCAGCAGGTTTGCCGCCTCCTTGTATTTGTTCTGGTCGCGGTATACGAGCGCGAGAATATTAAGCATGGTAGCCACGTCCGGATGGTCATGACCAGAGGTCTTCTCCAAATCCTCCAGCGCTTGCTTGCACAGCGGTACCGCGACCTCGTAACGACCCTGGCTCGCGTACTGAATCACTAGGTTGTGTAAGGTGCGCAACCGCGCCGGTATCTCATAGCCCGCGTTGACTTGCTGTGCAAACTGCGACGGCGGAGTCGGAGATATGGCTGCGAATTAGTAGAATGAGGAGTGACTTTTATTGTACGAAATAACCACCACACAGCGGCAAATTCCACGGAACATAGACGTATGTTATTTCTACAAAACGAATGTTGCATACATTTACTGTTGCGATCATCCGCGTCATCATCGGGGAAAAGATCCACAACGGGGTCGTCCTTCGGCCGATCCTTGGCATTCTCGTCCTCTGTCGACGGATCCGGATCGTATTGTCGCATACTAGCCATAAAGTCTAAGTGCCTCTTCTCTTCCTCCAACTGAGCTACCTGTAAAATACACTTACGTGAGATTCTCGAAAGTTGCAAGGTGACGCAGGAACATTACGATGCAATTCATTGATCTGTATTAGTCTTAAATAAAAAATTGATCCGGCCTATATCAACTGCTGTTATAAGACCGTCAACTGCTGCTACTTTATTTTATTTTATTGCACTGTTTGTAGAGAACGAGAGAAATATTATAGTATATAGGATGGATTGATCAAGTATATTGGGAGGAGGGAACAAGGGCAGAGGAAACTGAGAGGAATAAGAAAAGGGGAGAGAAATGAGTCGCCTTTCTTAAAAGGGTAATAACGATTTACTCGAACAAACACGCATCTCGCGCAGTGGAGCGATCGCCGCTTAATCGGAAAAAGATCCTAAAGAGCCACCGTCTTTGCGGAAACATTCGCGGCGGCGGTCCGATTATCGCTTCGCGCTTCTTTCGGCTATCGGCAACGCGTGCTAAAATGGAATATCAAGACGGCACCGACACGGCATTGGCATATCGCGATGACGGCAAGGACCTATCCTCTGTCAAAATTCACTACATGTTTTTGTTGCTCTTATCGTTTCTGCATTTTGTTACACTTTGTGTGCAGCATGACGAGGTATATACGTCTCACTCGTTTTCTTCTATATTTTCCTCGTTCTCACTAGTTTTATTATATTGAATACTTTCTTATTTTCAGTATCCCTGAAAAAGTTCTTTTGAGAAAAATCCACCTTATTTATCTCTCACCTCATTTTACCCATGCAACACACATCGCGTATTAAGTGTCGTCAATCAATCGTTTTCAGTCTTAACCCCTTCACTGCCAGAGTATTTAGATGAAATGTGTCCAGACTGCCGAACTTAGAAACTTCGACAATTTTAACTGGACATACCATTTTTGGAGTATTTTCATCGACATGTTACCTATTTTGTTTGAAAGTTTTTACTGACCATTTTTTTATACTACATAATAAATTGAGTTCATTTGTATCGCTTATGCGATAAAACGAAAAAAAAAAACAAAAAAACAAAAAAAGGATAAAAAAAGCAAAAAAAGTGGGATGCTAAATCCTTTTGATAACCTCCTCGACGGTGCATCCTGGGTTCGGCTGATGTCAAGGGTAATTCACGCAAAAGATGAATCAGCGGGTCAAACTACGATGAAAATGATATATCTGATAAAAGTAGCAAAAAGTCATGAATTGAGTTACTTTTACCCATAAATGATATAGCTTATCAGAATAACACTGTTTAAATGTGGCATAAAACTTGAGTGTACGAGGACAAAGATTTTCCAAAAAATGAAAAAAATAGTCATTTTCTTATAGCTCTAGTCGGTCATGGGTGCGAGATAGTATAAAATGGACTTCGGAATCATATTCAGCGACCTCGAAAACAGGAAGACACATTCTGTTCACGTTTAATGCATTATCAGGCGTCAGTAGAGCATTTATTTATAGGACAAAGATTTGTGATTTTCCGGCAGTTTGGGCCAAGTTCAAAAAAACAAAGATCTTTATTCTCGGCAGTGAAGGGGTTAAGCAGTGGGTTAATATCGATCTGTTTATTTCAGCCCTGCATATTTCAACTATTCGAAAAAAGTCAGAACCTATTATGACGCAGCAGATAGATTCCACATGAATTGAAAGGGATAAGAAGGTCCATTGGCTATGATTAATCGACTGTTCAGAACTCTAACATTGCGTTCCTGCTCAATTAGATAATTTCTTAATAGTACGCCTTATTAATTTATTATTTATTGACGTATTATTTACTTATTTATGTAAAGAAACAGGAACAATTTATCAAAGCAGCAAGCTGCCACTGTAATAGCTTTACTGTAACGTCCATAAACAATACGTTCAGTTAAAAAATATCAGTAAACCTAAAGCGAGAAGCATGCACTCTTGCATGAAGACATAATACACAACGCATAAGGGAATGAATCAATCAGAGTCCTCATTTCTATTGCTACGAAGAAAATGAAGGACTCTGATTGGTCAATTTTCTTATGCGTTGTGCATTATGCCTTTATGTAAGAGTGTGTGCTTCCCGCTTAATTATACTACATTGTTAAGGCTATTATGCCGGTCTACGCCTATCTTCACATATTTCTCAGCTCTCATCAGAATAACGTCATTACTAATGAATGCTTTCATTTCAAAATCATTTGTCATCACTATCTCACTGAACTTTCTTGGCGTTACAAAACAATTGTCTTTCATAGCATTCATTTTCTCCGGATATTTACTCGCTGTGCGACCGTGCTTCCTATTTTAGCCTTGCGTCTTCTGACTGTCAAGATTGTAATTCTGAATATAGTAACATCAAAATTGCTTCTTAACTTTGTCTGATTCAAACGTGGCAATTAAACCGTTGAAATCTGCTAACAGCAGATAACCGATGCAAAAGTCTCACAGTGTATCGGCGTCACGTTCACAAGAACGAAGTTGTCACAAAAAATGTCTCAGACAGACGACTTTCTCTTTGATAAAGATTCAAGTCAATCGTTAAATTACTTTTTGATAAACTTGAATAGCGGTTTACACAGATGAAGAAGAACCTTTCCTATATCGGTGATTTATTCAAAGTTAACTCTTTTCAGAGCAATTGCTACTGACTATTCGCTTAAGAGACACAACGCGTGACTGATGACCGATATTATCAATAATTAGCATCGTTCATAAAACTTCACGTTATCGATAATCAATATCATCGATGGAACTTCACATCGTCCGATTATAATGGAACAATTGACCGTTACTGACATCTCCAGAAACAATACACAATCGGTTCACAATCGAATCCTGTATTTGAGATCATCTTCAGATGCACGAATCGTTTCACTTGTTACAGAGGATTCTGAGGATGAATCTAAGGCAACCTTAAATATAAAGTCCGACTATAAATACTGCCCTAGAAGGCGCGTGTCGTGAACTCACCGCTTGTTCGCTCGCCTGCAGCTTCTGCTGAGTGCCGGCCAGCTCGTCTCGCAGCCAGGCGTTCTCTTGGCACAGCCTCTTCACTTGGGTCCTTAGCTTCTGCTTTTCCGCCTCCACCATCTGTAGGTGGCTGGCGAGCGCCTGCATTACCTGCGCCTCGCCCAAGCCCAGGTCAATCATCTCGATGATCTTCGATAGCAGACTGGCCTTGTCGCGCGCCGCCGGCGCGTCCTGGGACTGCAGGCCCTGCAGGAGTCCGCCGTGCTCCACCCGCAGGGCCTCCAGACCCTGCGCCACTGTCCTGGCCCCTGCCACTATCTCCTCCTGCGTCATGGCCGTCATTCTGCCTATGTTCTCGATCTTTTTACTGGAATCAAAGACGAAGAAAAAAAATAAGTAAAAAGTCGGCAGGCGAAATTCGCAAAATATATCCATTATCTCTGTTCTCTCTCCTATTCCTCTTATATTCCTATATCCATTTATATTATAAATAACGTACGCAAATATTTTGTATTTTATCCTACACTGTACAGATTATATGCAGGATGAATCAAAGCGGGGAACACGAGAAAGGCGACGGGATGGCGCGTGGATTAGTTTCCATTGACGGGAGGAGCGCGTTCCGAAGCTAATCGCCCACGTCATCGTCATCCACGGTACCACTCCAACATCATCAGGGAGTGGTCTCTGAGAATGTTCTAAAAGAGTATCGCCGGCTGTGGCTGTGCGCGTCCGGAGACTCGGCAAATGAGAGCGTGTCACTCTCGCGACATGGCCGGCGTTCGCAGCCAAGTCGAGAAAGGCCGAGCGTCGAAGGACGACGACGGCGACGAGGGCCGTCGGGGAGACCCCGAGGTGGCCGAGTGTGACATAAACGCGAGTGGACGGCTCTCAATCGGACTGCGACGACGTGAATGGAAGACGAGGCGAAGAACGAACGAAAGACGAAGAGAAGCGAGAGCGAGGAGGACTTACCCCATGTCTTCAGGGCCGCGTTGGAGCTGTCTACGTGCCTAGATGGTGTATTTGCCGGTTCAATACTTCGGCGCCGGCGCGCAGCGACGCGCCGCTGCGCTCTCGACGCTCCGATGCGACAGACGCGTACAAGGCGATTCAAAGAAGCGCGATTGGAATTTCATGAAATCCCGGCGCTAACTCATTGATATCACACTGAGAGAAAAAAATAGTTGGAATAACTACAATCTCACTATATTATATAATTCGTTTTGGCCTCAAACATATATTTATAGTTCATCTAAACATGAAGATATAGCAGAATGAACACAGATTTATAGTCACCGTTTTATTACTCTATGTGTATAGTAAAGCACATTTTGGGAATATAGTTACATGTACCTATATTTGCCAAATATTCCAATTGTATTGACTATATAAAATAGTTGATTTCTCTTACCATTAAATATTTGCAACCTTACTATATTTTTTATTTCAAATGATTATAATTCTTAGTAAAAATTTTACACTGATCAATTATACTATGCTTATATTGTGAATATTATAAATATTATAGTAACATTTACTATAAAAATGATATTCCTAACTATAATCTTTTTACTATACCATTATAGTTCCAAATATCGTACATTTCTCTCTCAGTGCAGGTATATCTCTAATAACTGGTAACGAACAAACCTATGCAGGTTTCTTATTTAAGGAGTTTGTCCACTTAAACCGAAATGCTTATACGAAAATTTAACGTAACACTTATCGCAGAGAAACGCACTCATACACTGAGAGAAAAATGTATGATATTTGGAACTATAATGGTATAGTAAAAAGATTATAGTTAGGAATATTATTTTTATAGTAAATGTCACCATAATGTTTGTAATATTTACAATATAAGCATAGTATAATTGACCTATGTAAAACTTTTATAAAGAATTATAATTATTTGAAATAAAAAGTATAGTAACGTAGCAAATATTGAATGGTAAGAGAAATTAACTATTTTATATAGTCAATACAATTGGAATATTTGGCAAATATAGGTACATGTAACTATATTCCTAAAGTGTGCTTTACTATACACATAGAGTAATAAAATGGTGACTATAAATCTGTGTTCATTCTGTTATATCTTCATGTTTAGATGAACTATAAATATATGTTTGAGGCCAAAATAAACTATAAAATATAGTGAGACTATAGTTAATTATTTTTTTCTCTCAGTGTAGTCAAGGCAATAATTCAAAGAATTATTAAAATACAAATAAAAGACAAATTCGTACGATTTGTCTGCATTCATGAGAAATTTAATATTGAATTTTGAAAAAAAATATATATATTTATTACTTAAATAAAAACCTCTCATCGTGTGTGTATGTGTTACATATTAGGAAACGCGTTCTCTTAAATAAATCAGTAAAACATCATTGAAAGCAGTGAATATACACTGATTTGCAGTTATAAGTATAGCACTGAAACTGCTCAGTGCTATAATTATTACTGATATCAGTGACTATTCATTGATTTACTTTAAAAGAGCGGGGTGTATTTACTGTTTTTGTGTAACGGTCGATTGTAGGCCAGAAAATTGCTGTTTTATGCTTTGAGTAGCATTATACCGAGTGAAACGTGGCAAGACATGACATTTATTATTTAGATAATAAAATAAATATATAAAAATGTTTTGTTCGATAATAGTAAACTTAGTTTTGTTTGATAATAATAAACTTGTGAATAATTGTTTTGATACGCCACTGAAAATACATAGCTGGTTAACAAACTCCTTAATAAACAGTAGTCTGTTACCATTCATTACCTCTTGTTTCCAGCTCTCCGCAATCCTTACGTTTCTACCGACACTGACTAAATCTTAAATTGAGTTAAGTCTTCGTCTGAATAGAGTTTAAACTCAAATTAAACTTTAATCAATCTAGGTAGAAATGAGCATTAATCCGAGTTCACAATAAGCGTAATAAGCTTTCAGCCTTTTGTTCTAAGGTCAAAACTGTAACATAATTTTTAGCAAAATGCATTTTTCGCATTGCCAAAAATCTTAAAGCTCGGTATTGCGACGTCCGATAGTATGTAGACACGCCTTTTGCCAAAAATTGTGTTACAGTTTTGACCTTAGATTGAAAGGTTAAAGGCTTATTATTCTGGACCAGAAGTTATCGAGCGGCATTACACATCATTAACCTTTTGCAATCCTATGTCAGATCTATCCTATGACATCATATTCGTCAGATTAGATTAGATTAGTCTATTAGATCTAGTCGATTAGATTAGTTGATAGGTTGATGCAAAAATTCTGTCGTGTTCGTCAAATAAAATAGAAAACAAAATTATCCAATTTCGAGTAATCTTTATGAATAAAATGAACCCTGATTCGGTATTTTTTTGGACATATAACGAGGATTTCCTATTTTCCTTCTGATGCCCAATTCTGATGTCTTGTGAGAATTCAATAGAAAAATGGCAAATCTTTTACACCAACTCAATATAAAACAACTTTTTATTCATTAACAGTGTACTCAATATAAATATATCATTATAAATATGCTGTTACATCAGTTAGATAATGAAATGTTGAAGTAAGAGCGAACTAAGCGATACTGTCGCGAAGCAAGTAGATCTCTACAGATTAATCAAGAAGAAAGATTCAATGCGTTGTTGACAACACCATGCGATTACCACATCACAATCCTTTTCATTCCCAAAAAGCCTCTGCCAATTGAAAGCCAGATCACGAAAGAGATACGCATTTCGTCATGTTCATCGACGCTCGCGATGAATTGTTTTGCTGCGCCAGCACACATACAATAATAAAACCTCCTACATAACCTATATACTTGCGTATATACTTGCGTGTATACTTTTTTAATATACATACATGTGTTAGATCGATAATTCGTCCTTATTGTCCACTGATTCACATATTTTGATTGTAATCAGAGAGCTTTCGAATCATTCCATTGAAATAAAGTCCATAATTCGGAAGCGAGAGATCCCGTTCCGATCTGATTCTCGTGAATCGCCCTGTACAGGTGCAGCGCGACGCGACCGGAAATTCGACGCTGAAGAAGGACGATCCGCGTCCTTCGCTCACGCGTAATCGATAGGAGCCGCGAAAGACCAGGCGCGCGCAAAAGAGAGACAGATAGAAAGAGAACGAGAGAGAGAGAGAGAGAGAGAGAGAGAGAGAAAAGAGAGAGAGAGGGAGCTATCGTGAAATTATTCGCGGTTCGCGATCGAAAGCCGACGCGCCTCCGACCGCGATATCCGGTTTCCAGCTTTTGTGCCTTCAAGATTAGCGGTCGACGCGCTCGGAAAGCTTTCTTTACTTGCGCTACAATTCACTCGTTATACCGACCTCAAATTACTCTAATATGCTCTCACTCTTGGGAAAGCTGCCACTGTCGGTGTTGCGGTCTTAAAATGAACAAAGAGACGAACGGCAGGAAGCAATCTGTCTTGGTACAATCGATCGTTTCAGAGGATCGTGTCTGTACGAAAGGAAACGCTCGGGAAAGGAGACGATCGAGCCTTGCCAGGTATCGAGCGGACGAGCGAGCGCGCCAGACGAGTTCCCGGTGGTGTCCTGGTTGTCTGGGCGAGGTCAAGTTTTCGGGCAGTCGTAAACCTTGACCTCGGCCAACCAGCGGCTGCTTAGTGCCAGGATGATTGTGCGAACGAGCGAACTCGGCGACCTCGGTACGCGCGATAGATCCTTCGATTCTTAATCCAACGCTTCCGCGACTCCCTCGTCTTCCAGACAGACAGACAGACAGACGAAGATTGACCTTCGACCTCGGCCGGAACGGCGGCGATGAGACAGCGAAACGATCCACCCCGGTTTCCATCCTCGGATCGATCGACCCGATGGAAAGCACCTGGTAAATTGTCGCACGAGGCAAGAAATACAGGCACGAGTTGGAGAAAGAACGAAGAAGCTGGCGACGACGCGGCGCGAAGCCTTAGCGCGACCCTGAAGACTACCTCCCCGCAACAATGAATTTCGTAGAGGGCTCGTCGCAAGGGAATCAAACTAGAGGTCCCGTGGGCGAAGGGAATCCGTTCACTTCCAGACAATCGTTACTTCGTTAACTTCCCTGCGCTGCCCTTATCTCGACTCCATGATGTCGACTTCATGTTAAGTTAACGAAACAGTCATTTTACAATCAGAATAAGATGAGGGTCTGTGTAATTGTAGCCTGAATTTCTCGGTGGCCCCTCTATTTTCATGATAAATATTATGATAATATGATGGATGATAATAGAGAATAATAACAGAGAGGAGAGTGTAGTAACAGTGAGAGGAGCTCCTGAATGAATACTGTCTATGTGATACTATCGAAGGACTTCCAAACTTCAACATTAGGTCGATTCAAAGCTCTTGTTCTATAAACAATGAACAAACGTCGATGGGAACCGAGTACTTTTCAAGTAGAAATGTCAGAAAATGTCAGCAAATGTCAGCAAATGAAATATGTACACTGAGACAAAAAATATCTAAACAACAAAGAACACTTGTTTGATAAATGCTAATAACGTATCTACTCATGCTAATATATGTATTTTTACATGGAAAAAATGTTCAAATAAAGAAATATATATTTACTTAAAAGCGTATGCGATAAAAAACGTTTTATATTCGTGTTCAAGTCTTTTGTTAAATTTTTAACATATCCATATGTTAATTTACTATCATGTTATTTTGCCTCTGCGTTAACTTCACATTCATCATCCCTAAGTGTTAAAATAACACAATAGCGTCCAAGTGTTGCATTTTTGTGTTAATTTTCGATTATTTGTGATATTTGTTTACATATTTGTCTTATGTCAAATTAACACAAAAATTAGGATAATGTGTTAAATTTAACACAAAATTTTTTACAAGATAGTTTCCCACGAGGAAAATTGTTTATTCTATTTATATGAAAGAATTTGGATTTAAGTAAATATGTTATTAGTATCCACCGCGAATATTGTTTATATCTTTTAGACATCCTTTCTTCTCGCACAGTCTATTCAACGACAAGCGATTTTTCTGAATCAACCTAATACAATCTATCTATCTGATTCATTCAACCTATCTTTATCTTATTGTGTGGGCCTTCTTGATCTTCGTTTTCTACCCACGTTTAGTTGGTGTCGAAAAACTTTGGTCTCTTTTCCCGATCAATCATCGAGATCGTTTCGCTTATTTTCTTCACCATCGTTCCCAATCCTCGCAACGGCAATCGAAGTTCTCGTTCGCACGAGGAAGAGGAAACGAGGCTACCGGAAGTCGCGTTGTCGACGCCGTGTGCTTGCGTAAACGCGTGACGATTCGCGAGCAGCTCGATCCTGTGCGATGCTACGGATCCCGATGAGGCGAAATCTCGGCACGCGTCCGTGGGAATTCCGTAGCTGGTGAACAGCGTCGCGACGCCATGCGGACCGATCGATGCTCGCGAATTCAACGGAGAGAGATTGTGCGATGTACCGGCAGCAGCAGCTGCAGCTGACATCCCACGCGAGATTGCTTATCACGTGAAACCCGTCAGAAACAAAGATTGTCAACGCCATGATCCACTGAGCGTCCAAATTCGAGCATCATGGACACGATTAAAGCAATGGCGACAATTAGAGCTTGTTCCAACTTCCTGGTAAATTAACTGATAGTTAAATCATATGTCTGTCTTTGTCTAAATTGAAGGAAAAACGAACAGACATATGATTTAACTATCAGTTCACTTACCAAAACGTTGAAACAATCGACCCTTAGTCGGATGAAGTTCGGATGAGCTCGTGGTACATTTTGTCTATTTCATGTACGTACATATTCTATCAAGATTTTGTTTTCTACAAGTCGTCAAAGACGCAGTTTCTCCTATTATTAGACCTTAGTGCGTTAATTAGCGAATGAACGAAACCACGACGACCGGCATATGGGTCCTTTCTCGCGTAAGAGAGACCAAAGTAGGTTCGCCAAGCGTTTCATTTATGCATTCATTGTGAGAGAAACAGTGAAAAAGAAATTCCGAAGATTCCCCTTTTAAAATATAGGAAAAGAACTATGCTCTCTGGCATAAATATTTTGGTATAGAAGCTTTCCTCTTAAAACATAGGAAGAGTATTTGTGTTCAGCTGCTTCAGGATCAATATCTTGCTTTTAGAACGTAAGAAAAGTACTGATGTTCCACTCTCTAAATTGAGTGGAATTTTACTCGAAAAGTGGAGTAATCACCGAATCACTCGAATTCGAATTTCGCTCATATAGGATAGTATTCATATTTGGATCTTATATTTAAGACTATCTTAAGTATTTTCATATATTCCGTGTCCAATGAAATAATCTATACAGTATCTGAAGATGAAATTAAAACGACCTTAAATATTAGATCCGAATATGAATGCCAGCCACAGAGTCAATTCTCCACTTTGAATCGTGGAATATTTTGATTCAAAATTTTAAGAATGAATATACTTTACTGTTAAAAACCATAGTCATTCTAATTGACTGCAAGTCTTGCGATTTTGAGTATGTCAGTATTTTCACTATTATTTTGAGTAAAAATACTACCACTTTTCATTCATCCTTAATGAAATCCATTCCATTCCAAAAAATTTTGAAAGTAGGATGAATAAATTGCATTTAAAACATAGGAAAAGTACTTATGTTCTATATTGAGTACATTAGAATAAATCTTTTATTCTCAAAATGTGAAAAAAATCGGTATTTTCCCTTAAGGACATGGGAAATGTACCCAGGTTCTGAAATAAATACTTTAGGATAAGTATTTTCCCTCAAGAACAACAGTTATTTTTAGATTGGATATTTTAGGATGAATATTTTCCCTTGAGAATATGTGGGAAAAGTATCTAGACTATAAAATAGATACTTTATGATAAGTACTTTCCCTCAGGAACATGGAAAAAATACTTAGATTCTAGATTAGGTACTTTAGGTCTGATATTTTCTCTTAGAAACATAGAAAAAATACTTATATCCTAAGGATCTTTAGAATATTTTCCCTCAAGAATATGGGGAAAGTGCCTACGTTTTAGGTTAGATACTTTAAAATAAATAGAGATTTTCTCTTAGAGACTTGGAAAAAGTATCTGTTCTAGAACAAATACATTAGGATGGATATTTTCTCTTAGGAACATAGGAGAAATATCTATATTTTAAGATAGGTACATTAGCATAAATATTTTCTCTTATAGAAGATGGAAGAAGTACTTATGTACTAGGTTAAATACTTTAGGATCGATATTTTTCCTTGGATGGATATGAGAAAAATGCTTATGTTCTAGGATAGGTACTTTAAGATGAGTATATTCCTTCAGGAACGTAGAAAAAGTATATGTTCTTGGATAAATATGTTTTAGAATAGGGACTTTTCCTTTTGGAACATGGAAAGAGCACTATGTCCTGGGATAGATGCTTTTCCTATGTTCCAAAAGAAACATTTCACGATTTATTTTCCACTGTTTCTTCTACAATGAGTACACGAAAGAAACGCTCGACAAACTTGCCTTTTTCGCGGACCAACCTCGGTCTTCCTTACCCCAAGTGGCGCCGATCGAACTCACTAAAAGCCACGTCAATTCCGATACACTCATAACGACGTCGAGTCTATCAGGTAATGCCATGTCCTTCGTTTCGATCCAGTTCGGCTGTTCTCTCCGCTGAACTCGCCCGATCGCCATGGGCGACCTTCGCGAACTCCATACGGCGCTGTTAGCGCTGCACCCTGCTGCAACCCACGAAATGCAATTCTTCGACGTACGTCGCAGTACGACGCGACCGACATCCCAAAAAGTCGCGTCGTCCCGACGTTTCTCGTCGTTGCACGAAATGCCTGTTTTTTAGGTCGATTCGCGCGTCATGGCCGGCGTGTTTTAACGCGATCTTCTCCTCGTTACGTCCACATCAAACGAACGCTCATCAAGTCCTTTGAACGTTCGATTGACAGACAAACGCGTCCAGAGCATGTCGCTCGGCCGTTGTTTGAAGCCAGCAGAGTCACGGCATGTCAGACCGACACGTCACTCGCGCGCACGCGAAAATGCGTATTGTGTATGTGTGAGTCGACCTTTACGAGGAGCTCATAGGGAGTTTAAGGGGTTGTCCACGGTGACTACTCACATTCTATAGGCGTTGAGCGTCTTTGACATATCCGTTCTACCCATCGGTAACGATGGACTCCGCCGGGCTCTATCTAGACCGGCTTTACACCGTATACATGTAAGAACCGTGTATATATATATATATACACACACACGCGCACACAGCTATACTCCCTTCGCGTGTATGCACTCCCAGATAGGAAAGGAATCACCTAATCATCATCGCGTGGTCGGTACAAGAATATAGATTGTATACAAACGCGAATGCGTGCCGTGTGCATGAGAAAGTATATGTGTGTGTATGTGTGTGCATACAAACGTATTGAGGAGTTGTGTATACTATGTGTTTGAGCGCGCGTGTGTGTGTGTAATCGCGATCGTTCGCGGCAACGGCAGCGCGCCGGGTCGCGTTTAATTTCTGACTGAAAAGCAGTTCGCCTTCAGCCAGCCTTCCACCCCCGCAGCGCAACCTCAACCACCTACCGCCGCGGCAGGTAGAGGGTATGGAGGAGAGAAGGGCAGCGTTGGCGAGGGGGAGGGGGGTTGAAAGTGCGCGACGCCTGCGCCCTGAAATCATAATTCCTTGCACAAGGGTGCATAAGACGGGGACACTGCGCGAGAGGGATGCACACGAATGCCGCGATGCGCCCCCGGAAGTGTCGCATTGTGGAGGGAGCGCTGTATAATATTCCCCTTCCCTTAGGGATTATCCCAACAGGGATTGCGCGCTTGTTCAGTGAAAAACAACGGGTGACAAGGAAGCGTTTGCACGCTCCACTTTGATTCGCGCGAGAGGAAACAAAAAAGTGTCGCTCTGAAATTTTTTGGAGTGTAGTGTCGCTCAAAAGAAGTGGAGATTCATTCGAAACGATAGTAAAGATAGTCGGAATCACAAAGAGCGTTACTTTCTTCAATAAATGACGAGTTACTGTTAAAAAATAACTTTGCTCACACTTACTTCTAAATGTACAGTGGATTCTTAACTGAATAACGACTCGTTACTTCTTGAGTAACTATAACCTTGGAGAGTTTTTTTCAAAATAAATAACGATAACAATACACATAAAAAGTAATACACAGCAAAAAAAAACGGTACATGAAATTCTGGATGATTGAAAAGCCACTCAACTTCAAGTGGCTCAACTGCCATTTTGATGGAATTTTATTCGAGGAAATTTAGAGAATGAAATTTCAATCAAAACAAATGAAAATATAGTAAAAAAACTGCAACTCGGAATTACAAAAATTGAATGTTTAACTCAAACTTTAAATAAACTCGCAATAAACTGCTAATAATTTTAATCGATTAGAATCAATTTATTTTTATCAAGGCATAATAAGATTACACTTGTTCTATAATTTCAAAAGAAAACATTCACGTAGCGATTCAGAGTAAAGAAATTCATTCTAGATGAGTAAAAAGCCACTCAACTTCAAGTAACTCGACTGTCACTCTACTGTTCTTATGGAATTTCACTCAAAGAAATTTAGAGAGTAAAACTCGAACTTGAAATAAATTCTTAATCCATATGAGTGAACGTTTCAATCAAATAGAATGAATTTGTTCATGTAGTGAATGAGTAAAATCACATCCATTCTTCAATTGAATTCGAATGAAAACATGAACTCAATGATTCAAAGTGAAAGAATTCATTCTAGATAAATAAGAAGCCACTCGACTTCAAGTGACTCGACTGTCACTCTACTTTTCTGGTGGAATTTCACTCGAAGAAATTTAGAAAGTGAAACTCGAACTTGAAATAAATTCTTAATGAGTTTCTATATGAGTGAATGTTTCAATCGATTAGAATGAATTTTTTCATATGACGAATAAGTAAAATCACATCCATTCTTCAATTTCAAGTGAAAACATGCTTTCAATAATTGAGAATGAAGGAATTCATTCTAGACGAACAAGAAGTCACTCGCCTTTAAATGAATCGACTGTCACTCTACTTTTCTGGTGTGGAATTTCACTTGAACAAATTTAGAGAGAATTCTCTAAATTTCTCAAGCGAGATTCAAGAACGGACAATGCGCGAGGAACGCTGCCGCATCACTCACGGCGCAGTACACCCCGACCTTAAAGAGTCAAGGACCTCGAAAATTCTTCTTCGAGAACGAGCAAGCGACTCCGTCACGGCGCGTCGAAATCGCAGCACCACCGCGGAAAGTGCAACACGCGGTCTGTTTTTGCGATCGCTGCCGCGTCTAGCAGGAGGTCGACTGGCACTCGATGACTCACGGCATGACGATGGAGCATTGGGACCGGTAACGCACTCCCTATACACCGAGTAAAGGTTGGTTCACAGTCGTCAGCGCCGTGAAAATCGCGTCCACCAGCCCGGCGCATAAAGTTGGGACAAATATAAATTTACTGTTCAAAAATCGCTAGAGACCACAATTTTATAGCAATCAGGATGAATTTTTTTTTTAATTAAACGTTAATAAATATAGAAACAAACGTCGAGCCTGATTTTTAAAAACATTCCTCTAAATGTTGCAATATTCCTAAGAATTTGTAAAAAATTATCAAGTTTTGCGAGCCACTCTTCCAATTGAGAAACTTTCCATCTTTTCGCTATGCAGTACAGTACGGGTTTTGGACTTACGACTTTTTGATTTTGAGTTTATTGATTCGAGTTTGTAGTTGTATGCATTTTTGGTTTGTAGGTTTTGGGTTTCGGAGATACGAGTTTATGTGTCTTGGATTTCTTTTATGTTAAGGACAATTGATTTTATGAGATTTCGTTTATGGTTTTCTAATTTACAAGTTGGAAAATTATCGAAATAAAAGATGGAAAGTTTTCCAATTAGGAACTCTCAAAACTTGATAATATTTATAAATTCTTATTGATATTGCAACATTTAGAAGAATTTTTTAAAAAATCGGGCTCAACAGTTTTCTTTTACATTAATTAACGTTTAATTAAAAAAGAATTCATCCCGATTGCTATAAAATTGTGATCTTTAGCGATTTTTGAATAGTAAATTTCTATTTGTCTCCACTGTGTGGCGTTCTCTTTGACACACACAGACGCACACGCACGTGTGAACTGACCTTTACCGTATATTCGCACGCTATTCGCACGCGCGGTCCGGTGCTGCGCAGACTGCCGTCACTTTCGAGGATCCCGAGAGTGCGAGAATGGAAGTGACCGTGTCGAATCACGAATAAAATACAATAAGGTCCTTCCTCTCAAACCAGCATTGCTGTTTTTCAAATGGGGAAACCTCTTAGACCTTGAAATTTTTTAGACTCACGAGTTCTTGACGGAATAATCGTTATAACTAGTTTCGGCCGAGAATGACTAAAATACAGTGTTAATAACTCAAATAGGCTTTCATGATCATTACGACGCGAGGCAATCGATGATGGAATCTTTACGATTATTTTAGTTATATTTAAGAGGCAAATATATTGCATTGCATTAATTGAAGTTATATCATACAATGATGTGAGTTCTGTGTTATATCGATGCAGCAAGAAATTTACTGAAAGTTACTCTCAGATTTTCATGTTACATTTTACATGACATATTATTTCGAGCAAATTTCCATTATTACTTTCATATTTCTTTCGTATTCCTATTTCGTTATTCTATGTAATAAATATGAGCCATATGAACTACTCATAAAAGATGCAACCTTTATAAGTCGACTAGTAAAGTTGCTGTCAAATTTACACACACCTGTCTACCAGGAACTTAGGGTCGGTTTATCCAACTTCTTGCTAAGCTAACTAACAGTTAAATCTTATGTCTGTTTCTACCTAATTTGAAAGAGAAACAAAGACAGACGTATGAGTTAACTGTTAATTAGGTTAGCAAGAGGTTGGAAAAATCGGCCCTTAGTCAATCAGTTAAAAGTCAAATTAAAACGCTAAGTTAACCATTTTTAGCTTAATTTGGTTAATTTTAAATGAGTCAATTTTTAATTTAAACTAGTTATATTTTTAAATGCATAAACTTTAACTTAGTAACTCTTTTTATATAAACTTTTTATATAAGCTAAAATAATCCATCGATATTTAAGTCATCGATATTTAAGTCATTGCGAGCCGCTAACAACGTAGAATAAGAAAAATAAACAAAAGAGAATAATGATAGAAGAATTTTTTATCCCTCTGAGTATTCTTTTCTTGTTTGTATTCCTGAATACAAAACAATTAGTTTTTTTTTATAAAAGATTACCTTCTCATTAATAATTTACAAATTTAATTTGTGATTAAAAAATTAATCACACAAAGGCATGCATATTGTTCAGCATAATAAACTTTTAATTTTAATAAATTAATATTATCTTTTAATATGGGGTTAGTTTTTGTTTATGTGACTTTCAATGTAAATTAAGCTAATTAAAGAGCTATTTGAGCTTAATTTAGTTGAAAAAAGAAATGAACTTACCCAACTCTGCAAAAATATATGGTCGGAACGTTTCGATCAAAGCGATTTGCGTACAAAATATGATAAATATATGCAAATTAGACCTCTTATCGTCCTCTTTGCAATGTTTTCTTTAGAATGAATTTTTCTATCGCAAGATCATCTCTTCTTGCGTTGAAATATGAAACTGCCTGCACGAGAGAAATCGCGAAGTCGATACGCAGGATTAAGCTTGCAACTTGCCCACGTATCGATTAATAAGTGTATCCTTCGATCGCGCTGAAATCGCGCACGTCAAGGCAAAGCAGGGTAATTGAAAGTTCGGCGCAATATCGCTGCAATTACGCGCGCCCGATTCTCTGCCTCTCGCGGACCGGCGAAGTGAAACTTCGTTAGCGGATAATTAACCGGCGCGATCGGTCGACGTGTTACTTCCATCGGGTGCGAATGCGGTTTTTCGTTCGCTATGGGACTTAATGATATTTCGGAGAGCGGCCTTGCGTGACCGTCGTGGAAATTCTCTCCGCCGCGCGGTTCTGGGATATACCTTTCTCGTCCGAGCACGCGGAGTGAAACTTAATAAGACTTTTCCTCTCTTCGCCATCCGAACCGTTATTTGCCGTAGCCGTTTATCGTGCTCGGACTTGGACTCATTCGGGAAACGCGTTCGCTATCGCGGTGAACGTAAAATAAAAGAAAGAAAAAAGAGTAAGTAACATCCGGTCCTCTGAACGCGCTATGTTCGAAATTTAGCCTCAATACACCTCAATACAAAGCGTTAACGACTGACTACGTTAAAGATATAGAAAAATAACGGACACACCGAGAGAAAAAATATTTTTTCGGTGAGTACTAATGTAACACCTTTACTCATACTAATCTGCATAATATTGTAAAAAAAAATTTCCTTTAATGAAAAATACATGTTTTGTGAAAATCTTGTCTTTTAAAACAAAAAGAGCAAAAGTTTACTTAAATAAAAGAATTTAGATTTAAGTAAATATGTTATTAGTATATATAAAAAAATACATATTGCAT